TGAGGGTGCTGTGGCCAAGGCCCTGAGCACATGTGGGTCCCACTTCATCCTCATCCTCTTCTTCAGCACAGTGCTGCTAGTTCTGGTCATCACTAACCTGGCCAGGGAGAGAATTCCCCCTGATGTCCCCATCCTTCTCAACATCCTGCACCACCTCATTCCCCCAGAGCTGATCCCCATTGTTTATGGTGTAAGGACCAAGGAAATCAAGCAGGGAATCCAAAAACTGCTGAGAAGCTTTTAAGAAGTCAAATGAGTGAGACCTGACCTTGGAAACAGAAATCGACAATGGGAATTAATTTTCACAATGCATAGGAACTTTAAATATTTCATGTAAGAGTAAGTTTGTATGTTGCTTTGCTCAATTGCTGACTATGGGAGATTAATATATTGATGCCTGTTTTCTGTTACACTAACTAGAAGCTTGACTTTTGCCTTTTGGAATAACTTGTAAGTTTTTTTCTGGCCTTCTCAATTGAAAGGGACTTATCAAGGCATAACTTCAGGAACTTGGAGTGATATGGTTTGTCAAATAAAGAACAAATGTTATTTCAATGGTTGTAAATGCCCTTTAGTTTTCTAAACTGTTTAACTCATATGTGTTAGATCTCTTTATTCTCCTTGATATGGCTGAACCTGGTTTTGTGCCATCACTGAGTCTCTTGTGGAGCTACAGAGGTTGATTCCAGAACTTTGGTCTTATTGAGTGGCATGTGTTATACACTGTTTCTTTTCTCCCTGAGAAAAGGCCACTTCTCTGCTACATAAATTTTCTGTATTTTTTTCCTTATTTGTAGTAAATTTTGTTAAATTCTAGGATGATTTATATTTGCATGGGTACATGTTTTTAATCTATTTTTAATTGATTTATTTTAGTTATAGATAACATTAGGGTACATTTTGATATAATCACAAAAGCATGGAATATAATTTGCTCTAGTTTATTCCCTAGCACCCCCAGCTCCACCCGTCCATGCTTCTCTCCCTGTAGTCTAATGATCTTTCTGGTGTTTATTTATAGTATTTTTAAAAATTAGTGTTTTGTGTGTATACTTGTTGGAATTCTCTGTGGTGAACTCATGTATGTACACATGAACGTTCAGTCAAATTCATTCCATTCTTTTTCCCTTTTCCTGTATTTCTTTCCTTCTACTCCCCAATCCCCTTTGCCTACTCTACTTATATTTCTTCCACTTTGATTAAAGATTTCTCTCCTTTTGTTTTCTTTTCTCTTTCCTTCTCACCTTATTTTAGATTAGTTTCTTCATAACAGTGAAAACATTTGGCCTTTGACTCTCCGAACTGACTTATTTCACTTTGCATTATATCCTCCAGTTCMATCCTTTTGCTGGCAAATGCCATAATTTCATTCTTCTTCATTACAACTGAGTAATATTCCCTTGTGTATATATGCCACATTTTTCTTTATCCATTCATCTGTTGAAGGAAACCTAGGTTGCATCAATAGTTTGGCTATTGTGCTGCTTTTCAGAGTGGTTGTACTAATTTGCAGTCTCACCAACCAAATTTATGAACATAAATTTTTCCCCAAATCCTTTCCAACATTTTTTATTATTTGCTATTTTGACAGGAGTGTGTCTTATTTTAAGTGAAATATTATGTTCTCTCCCCACCCAGTTATCAGTGTCTAATTTCATACTGTSTTACCTGGTTTCTCTCTCAGATTTCAGGTAGCATCGACATTCCCATACTTTCCTTCATTTCTTAGATATACCTTAAATTGTACTCCTCATCCTATTTGAAGCCCTGTTGTGTCAATCTTCATATCTTGTCCTGGGGCCAGTGTAGTTTTCTATAGAATGCAGGCATTTGAATTAGTGGGTGGCTAAACGAGAACAAATGTTTTAAACTCTTTAGAGTTCTCATCCCAATCATGCTCTGAAAGTGATTGTGACTGATTGATTGGTGGTGATTGATTGATATTTCCTGGTATTAATTTACATTAGTAACCAGGTCCCTTTTGGGATAGTAATTGAGGGCTTCATATATAGTATTTTATGAGTCGTTTGAGAATGCTTTCCAACTTAGCTGATCTGGGTTGACCCAACATTTCTTGGAGGACTTATAAAGTAATTTATCATTCCTATGATGTTGTCTTTCATCAAAATAATATCTTTAATCTCCATTTTCTGTTTTGCAACTCCCAAGACAGAGCCCAATCAAAACACAACATTTTTCAAGCACTCTTCCCTTCATTTGTTCTTCTGCCAGCTCCTAACTCATGCTTCTCTAGATTATGTTCCCTACTTGATGGTATATATATATATATATATATATATATATATATATATATATATATATATATATATATATATATATATATATATATATATACACATTTTTTTTTCTACTGGGGATAGAAGCCAGAAGCAATTTACCATTAGCTACATGAACAGGTTTTTTTTTTTTAAGTTAGAGTCTCACTAATTTACAGATGTTAGCCTTCAACTTGGCCATGACTCAGTCTCCTGAGTCACTGGAATTACAKATGTGTGCCACTGCACCTGCTAAATCTGCTTATCTTGAAATGAGACTGATTTATTTAAACCCCTGAGCACATCAGTTTGGCCATTTATAAGATGTGTGACTTTTGACTCACAGATCTCAATCTGAGTTAGTATTCTCATTTAAAGAAGGATGATATCTCCTCTATTATTATGCAGTTTTTCTTGATTTTTCAATGTGCTAGATGACCTAATTTATGAAGAGTTTTTCAACCAGAGTCTAACTTGTAAGTAGAAACCCACTTTATTATTTTCCCCTGTACATTTCCATCTCTAATGTTTTCAAAGGAATGTATCTTCATTATCATATACCCCTGTGTAATGAGATCAGAAAGACACATGTGTTAGAAGTCTGTAGGTCAAACCAGAAGCAAAGTACAGTTCAGGCATGTATTGAGAAAGGAGTCTAAAGGGAGACGCTAAGTGTGAAGAGTTGTTCTTCAATTTTTACATCAGATCATAAGGGTTCAAAATGTATAAGTTTTTGTCATTTTACCTGATGAGATTTGCTATTAACAAGGGTGATATGAGTTACACTAAGACCTTTGGTACAAGAATGATGAGGTTCAGGGGAGAGTGGTAGAGCTAAAAACGCCTACTTGAGAACCAGATTGTCCAACCTGGGAGAATGGAGGTCAGAAGGGAGCAATGCTACAGGGATGTCAATCTGATGTCTAAAACTAGGGGAGCTAGCCTAGAGCTGAGCTAGTGGAGGCAGGATCAAGATTAGTCTCACATCAGTGCTCACATGTAGACATTTGAGAAAAGAGTGAATTTACTTCTTTAATGAGGGAATTTGTCATAATAAGATTCTACTTCTCCACCTGGAGTTGTGCAAATGGAACCATATGTAGATGTGTTCATCTGTAAGAAGTGACATTTGGCCTGTGTTTAGGAAAAACATGGGAAAATTAGTGATGCAGGTTGCTGGAAGGTCAAAGAAACACACTCATAAAATTAAAATTCCATTTGGTGTTTAGTTTGATCCTTCACCTCTTCACTAAGTGTCATTTCACAGTCAATCCTACTCCTGCCTTGGAAAGTTCATTCCCTTATCTTACATCTTTCTGCCCAGGGAGGGATGAACATTTGGGATAACAACCACCAAAGGAGCAAAGTGAGAGGTAACAGATAAAGTGAACTCAGATTTTTGTCTCATCACTATTCAGTTTTTTTTTCCTATACCTCTTACTGATTCTCTGAGAAAATGTGCAAAATGTCCTGAGATTAGAGGTGGAGCAGAGGATTGAAATGCTGATAACAGAAGGCTGATAGAAGAGCTAWGRKRTTTARTASTTGTGTTCAARGGAGTAAAGAACAAGGAGAATTATTTCATTGTGTCTAAGACTCTAATAACAGAGAACATGTGACTATCAGACAAAGTAAGACAAAAGCGTTAGAAAAAAGGCAGGGACATATTTTCTGATTGATGTAAGAACATGTGTAATGTAACAGGAGTGAGAGAAAATACATAATATACTAGTGCAGCTGAAATAGTGTAAGGAAACAATGAAACTTAAGTCTAATATAATTAGTTTTTAAAATTCATAGACCTTCCTTGGGACCACAGAAGGACAGAGTGGAATGATCTAAATTGATTTTACTCATATTTTTCTGGAAGAAGCTTTGGGGAAGCATTTGAGGGGTTAGAATAGCAGCAAATGGATCACTCTAAGAGGATATTAAAGGACATGTACATCAATAGATGTAATTTTGTCTATTTCATTTCACCCACTCATAGCCCTTCCTTCTTACCAGCTCTGGTGTTATTTTTACATACACACCTGTTTTTATTTTTCTTTTGGATTGACTATTTTTAACTCTGTTTTATTTTCTCTGCCGAGTCTTCACCCCATAGATGAGAGGATTGCTTTTCTAGATTATGAGGGCAGGTGGCACAAGGAGGTACAGGGTGGCCAGAAGAACATGGACATGATGGGGTACATGGTGGCCAAAGC